CACGCCCCGCCCGGCCCCGCCCCACGGACGCCAGCTCTCAGCAGGCCGGGGTCCGGGGGAAATCGCCTCGCGACCTGGGGCTCGAGCTCCAGGCCAGGGTTCCCGTCGTACTCCTCGTGTACAGCCTGCGGTGGTTCTCTGGGCACCCGGGCCAGCAGGGCTCATCCAGGCTTTGGAGCAGTTACTGGGAGGCTGCTCGACTCCACCCCAAGTATCTTTCGGGTCCCCCATGGGCACGCCGGGGCCTGGCGATGCCCAGCTCCCAGGCACACTTCAAAGGCTGCTCCTGGTCAGCGGAGCGCAGCTCCCTCCTGCAGGCCTTAGGGCCTACCTCCCAGTGTCAAACCAGAGCCAAGACATAGGGCCAGTCCTGTGTCCCCTGCACAGGACTGACGGGAGCAGACAGGAGCCCAGCGAGTCCCGGCCGCGGCCTCCCCCCACAGACCAGGCAATGGACACGAGTTATGCTCCAGTCTACATAAGGGAAACTTTATTTAGGCCCTGGGCATGGGGCTGGCAGAGACGGCCCTGGCCCTCGGCGGCGGTGGCCAGCTTTACTTGACCTTCTTCTTGGGGCGGAGGTTGTTGGTGTGGCCGCACTTCTTCTTGCGGCAGTTGACGGCACGGGGGTGCAGGCGAGCATAGCACCTGCCAGGGATGGTGGGGTGGGTGAGGCTGGGGACGTCACCCCCCCACCCTAACCCCCTCCCCGGTCCCTTCCATACTTGCGGCAGATCATCTTGTCGCAGTTGTACTTCTGCGCGAGCTGTCGCAGGGAGGGCTCGATGATGCCACCTCGAAGGCGAAGCACCAAGTGCAGGGTGGACTCTGCGGACAGGAACAGAAAGAGCGCCTGAGCCAGGGCCACCAGAGGGGCACAAGCCCACCAGTTAGGAGAATGGCTAGTAAACCACTGGCCACCAGCTGGGTGATCCAGCCTTACTGGCATTTGTCCCGGTCCCCACCCTGTACCTTTCTGGATGTTGTAGTCTGAGAGGGTGCGGCCATCTTCCAGCTGCTTGCCAGCAAATATCAGCCGCTGCTGGTCAGGTGGGATGCCTGCAGGAAGAGCAGCTGGTCAAGGGGTGCAGCTCCACACAGGCAGGAAAACCCACACACCCCAGGAAACCAGGCAGATGCCCAGTGTGGCTGTCCAGAAATCCTGCCCGACAGAGGCTTCCAGGTGGATAGATGGCCCTTCCTCCTGAGACAAAACTCACCCTCCTTGTCCTGGATTTTGGCTTTGACATTCTCGATGGTGTCGCTGGGCTCGACCTCGAGGGTGATGGTCTTGCCCGTCAGGGTCTTCACGAAGATCTGCATGTCTGCGTCTGCAGGGGCAGGGTGGAGCGCAAGCACTGAAGGCTGGCACCAAGCGGGAAAACATTTCAGTCCTTGCCTGCCCAACCACTACCCTCACACACACACACGTCCTGCCTGCAGCCTGAGCACGCCATACCATCCACGGAGGACTCGCCTGCTCCTAGAAGCCTCCACAGGCAGGGCTTCCTGCTTGACCCCCAACCTCAGCCCCTGTGGCGTCAGTTTCTTTTGCCAGTCCTGGGGATTGAGCTCAGGGCCTGGGCACTGGCCCTAAGATTTTTTTGTGCTCCAGGTTAGCACCCTACCACTTGAGTCACATTGCTGCTTCTGGCTCATTCCATGTCTGTGGTACTGAGGAATTGAACCCAGGGCTTCATGCATGCTAGGGAAGCACTCTACCACTGAGCCACCTTCCCAGCCTGGGCAGTTTTTATGTTGTGCCAGAACTGGAATTCTGACCACAGGTTGACCTTCTACCACTTGAAAAACAACTCTGCTGTGAGGCTAATGGGGAACTTAGTGCCTGGCTTGGCTTTACTTGGAACCTCGATCCTCAGATCTCAGCCTCATGAGTAGTTAAGCGGACTACAGACGTGAGCCACGGGTGGGAGTTATCTGGGGCATTGGGGTTTGAACTCGGGGCTCTACCACGTTAACTCCGCTCTCACCCTGAATGTTCCCTTTTCTTTTCCTCCCCAGTCCACTTCCTGCCTCAGCTCCACCCTCACGAACACACGCACACGGGGCCCGGGGTGAGTTAGGGGTGCGGCGCGGGGTGCGGGGCTCAGCTCCACGCTCGCGCACACGGGGCCCGGGGTGAGGAAGGGGTGCGGCCCAGGGGTGCGGGGCTCAGCTCCACGCTCACGCACACGGGGCCCGGGGTGAGGAAGGGGTGCGGCCCAGGGGTGCGGGGCTCAGCTCCACGCTCACGCACACGGGGCCCGGGGTGAGGAAGGGGT